GAACAAGAAGGGAGTGACATGTCACTAATTAGACCCACAATCTGGAAATGGGTTATATCTAAAAATAAGGCAGCACTAACATTTTCAATGGGTGAGTTGGAATAGCAGAATGAAGCTGGCAGGGGGTCTGGCTTTTTGCGACATGAAAACTGGGGAACTGGACACTCCAATGGGTGAAACTGAGTGGTTACTTTCCCGGGGGAGCTCTCAGTCTCTGGAATTCAGAACTTCCACAAAAACCCTTTAGTAGGAACAAAACTGTACCTGATTTGAGTTTGGCCCCTCTGCTGTATGCAGACCAAACCCCCATGGGCTTTCATGGAGGTCATCTGCATAAAGAACACGTGTGCAGAGCCCTGGGGAATAAATTTGTTCTGTTCTCTGCAGCTTGTGTCTGAATGAGTGTAGGAAGTCAGACCTATGTATTTCAAAGTCCAGAGCACAGGACAAGCATCTCTCACCCTCTGTCCATGGGACCATCACTGAGAGCCTGAGATCAAGAGATGAAAGACGAGCTAGGGTGGGGACCCGGAGTCTTTTGCCCAGAAAATGTGGAAAGATGGGAAAACAGCGCAGTTATTAATTTTGCTGCTGGTTCGAAAGAAGGAGGTGTTGGCAGCACCTGTGAAGGCAGAAGAGCATGACCAAGTGTGTGGAAGTCATGGCCAGTCAGAATATCACAAGGGCCAGAGGATGTGGCTCCATGGGGACAAATGGATCTATTCAGCCAAGACAGTAACAGTGGAAATGGAGGGTGACAACAGAGCTGCTTGGCTCTGGGGCTCCAAGGTAAGTGGAGAGAGGGCACAAGTCTGCCAGGCCAGGGACCCCTGCCCAAATGAAAGGTGACAGAGGCCAGCAACTGGGGCATAGGTAGAACAGAGTCCCCAGTGGAGGAGGCCCAGTACCAGAGGGGCAATAGGAGTAACCCCAGGAAGACCTTATGCTGCTAGGCCTGGGCATGCTCAGGATGGGGGCTAGATGGAATAATGTTCAGTGACAAATGCCAGCTCAGAGATGCCACGGCTCTGCCCCCTGGCGATGAAGTCTCTCTGTCTTTATAGTCCTCTCGGGCTGACAGTGGTGCTCCCTGTGCTTTGGAGGCAGTGGGGCTGGCGCCCTCCTGCATTCCCAGAGATGCCACTGGCCCTAGGCAGACATGCGCCCAGGAGTTTGCAGAGGGTAACCTGAGATGCCTCCATAAATACCCAAAAGGAATAGAGGAACAGCTCTAGTCTCCCTCTTCCGAGGATCTAAAGTTGGGACAGTACCACCCTGTCCTCACATATTCAGGAGGGATCTTCTGAACTGTGCAGGACTGGGAAGACTCCTTTCCACTTCTGTTGCCACTCAGCCAGGGCTCTTCCTGCGCCAGATCTGGAAGCCCTTCTCCCTTTTCCCACCCTCAGAATGTGACCATTTATTGGGTGGCTTTCTGCGGTCCTAGCCTTGGAGGACACATTAGGAAGCCTAGCTACTACTTCGGATCCCAGCGCATCTCCACCTGACCATTCAGCCTATGGTGCACCTGTTCCAATGGGCTCTGCCTCCTCATTGGTTCACAACTCAAGTGTGGATGGGCATGTGATCAATTGTCATCTTCAAAACCCTAACAGTGGTATACCCCTGAGTCACATTCTAGGTGGGTTGTAGGGTAGCCATGACCAGGCTTGAAGAAGGCTGTGGTTGGCTGAGCAGTTTCCCTGTCAGTCTGACCATCCCTTCCAAACCGAATTCTTCAGGGAATCAGTTCTGTTCTTCCTGATTCAGCTGGTGGGCAGTGGCCCTGCCAGGCCTGGGGAGTGCCTGTCTGTGCTCCTTCTTTGTGAGCTGAGCACTCTGGTTTTCTTGGCAGCTACTCCAAGGCCCATAATGAGACCCTGTTGGTGGTTATGAATGCAAATGCCTTCCTTGTTATCCCCGTGAGATCAGGATTAGCAGGATGACAGAGTTTATTGCTTCTGTTAGGAAGATACGATATTGGTTGTTGTTGTGTTTTTAATTTTGTAGGAAGAGCAGAAGTATAGAGCTACATTGTCTAAATAAACACAAATCTGTGAAAAAAAATTAGCACAAAACACTGAAGATGGAAACTATGAAGTCTAACTCCACAGGAAACTGGGAAACATGAACCCAGTCTTCTTTGTACTGACCACAACCTCAAGACCAAACCGAAATGAGAAGACCTCTCTGGACTTGCACTGGAGGGACGCCAACTGTGTACAATGTCAACGTGCTTGGGCTCAAGGAAATCCACTCTGTCTTGCAAAAGGAAGGGAGAACCATTGCTCCCATCCACCCCACAGGTACGGTTTAAGTAAGCCACAAAGGTGGTGGCCATACCTGGTGGGGAGCATGAAGGAAGAAGTGATTCATGACCCCATAAAGAAGCAACAGCCAACATGACCTCCTGGGTGACCACGACACTCAGGACATCTGAGGACTAAAGGGTGCAATGAGTCACTATTCTCTTCTGTAACAATTGCTAAAATTTCAAAATCGTAGTGCGACTTGAAACATATGAGTGAAATGTACAGTATAAGTATAAAGAAACTTAATGGGAAAGGTTAAGCAAGTCTAATCTATAAAGAGCACTTACAAAGCAATTAAGACAAAAAATATCACCACTGGGTTGGGGATACAGCACAGTAGTATACACTTGCCTAATTCACAAAAGATGGAATACATATGACCAATTATCAAAATATGTTCAACCTTCCCAACCTCACTAGGAAACAAAAGACCACAGTGAAAAACAAGTAGGGTATTTTGCCAATTTTGCAAATTGGCAAAGATTCAAAATATTAACTATGGTGGGCAGAATAAGGCTCCCTCCCCGCAAAGATGTCCACATTCTAACCCCTGCTTCCTATGAATATAACCTAACATGGCAAAAGGGACTTTTCAGATGTGATGAAGTTATGGGAAATTGTGCAGGATTATTGAGGTGGGTCTAGTGTAACCACAAGGTCCTTAAAATAGGGAGGTAGGAGGGTCAGAGTCAGAGGAGATGTAACAGGGAAGCAAAGGTCAATGAGGGAGAATGAGGTGGGAGCAGGGAGGGTAAAAGGGTGAGAGAAAGGAAGGGGGAATTTGAAGATGCTACACTGCTACCTTTGCAGAGGGAGAAAGGGACCAGAAGACAAGGAAAATAGGTGCCCTCTAGGAGCTGGGAAGGTAGGCAAATGTTCTCCCCTAGAGCCTTGGTAAAGAACAAAGCTTGGACCACACCTAGATTTAGGATTTCTGGCTTCCAGAACTGCAAGAAAATAAATTTATGTTGCTTTAAACTGCTAAATTTATACAGAAGCAAAGCAAACAAATGCACTGGAAACACCCAGAGGTGGCAAGAGCTGGAGGAGACAGGTGCATGCTGGCATAGGAGTATATGTGTCTCCCTTGTTAAGGGGCATGGCCTTTGAGCCAACCCATCAACTTACCTTAAGAGAATCAGGGGCGTGGCATTATTGAAGCAGTGAAACTCTGGAAAGCACTTAAACATTTACTCTCAGTAACTTTATATTTTGGAAATATTCTGAGATGTACAGAAAAGTTGCAAGAAGAGTCAAAGGATTCCTGTGCACCCTTCCCCAAGACTCCCTTGCTGTTGACACTGCCTCCTTTGCTTGGTCATTGTCTTTGTCTCTGAGCTACAGTTTACAACTAGTTGCAAATGGTTTACTACCCAGCAAAACTCAAACCATAGCATGCTGTACTTCGGCATCCCACTCATTCATTGATCCCACAGATCTGCAGGGCACTTGTGACCCCCCCCCATCTCCCCAGCTTGGGACCCAGCATTGTGGGGGGAAGTTATGCTTTTTAAATAACAGCAGCTGCCCTTGACCTGCCTCCAGGGCACTGTGTGTGACAGACTAGTGGTGCTCATGACAACTTTGAGCATTCTTACCTCCATCTTGGTATCATGAAGCCAAGCCTTCAAGAAATGCATGGTAGTTTCTTGGAGCCACAGGGCTGGTGGGCAGCACAAATATCTGAGCCAGACTGGGAAGCATCAAAGCACACTGTGCCATGCCTCCTGCCTCCACCTTGCTCCAGGTACCTCCATGTCAGCACAGCCCACGCACTGACTGACCTACCCCTGCATGGATCGCTGTGCCTCATGGATCTACCCCACCTAACTCGACCTTCACCCTGGGAACTAGGACATCTTAGGGGGACTTGCGAGAGTCAGGCCAGGATGTGTCACCAGAGAGCTTTTCAGCTGAGGGTTAGGAGTCAGCATCCTGCTGAGAGGGTGTCCCCATCAATGCACTCATGGCCCGATAGAATGACCACCTCCTTGGGGTCAATTTTCTTCATGAGAAGCATTCATCACATCCACATCAGATGTGATAATTGAATTTGCATGATTGTGTAGAGGCGCCACAGCCCTTCGTGCCAGAGAGGAAGAGGTGCATGCGTGGAAAATATACCACTGTGGGGAACAAACATGGGATGTGCGGAGCCCAGGCACAGACTGCTATGTGGCCTCAGGAAGTTGGACTAGAGTGAGAGTGAGGGCCCCTTTCCTGTGGTCAGATCCGGGAATGCTTCCAGGATGCAGATGACAGTGAGGATCTGGAAAAATTATCTGGTTCTGCTTCCCCATTAACCCACCTGGGGAACCACAGCCCTCAAATTTGGAAAGTTACCTGAACCTTGTCACTTCCAGCTGCTGATTTTTGTATCCCACAGCATGAAGGATGTGGGAAGCTGTGTGGCCTCCCCTGACTTTGGAAATTAAGCGTTATGGAAAGCAACCCTTCATGAGAAACAGTGTTCCATAGTGACAATCACACCACATCCACCTAGTCACCTCCTTTGGGATCAGGCATGGGCGCCGAGTGGCTTTACTGAGGAGTGAGTCCCAGAGCTTCTGCTTATGAGAAAACCAGTTCTGTTTCCCAGCTGTTCTCCCTGACCTTGATCCCCAAATATGCTGAGCACCTCACACAGAGCCCGGAGGGTTGTGGCAGTTAACAGGAAGTGTGACCTACCTGTCACCTTCTTTTCAAAGAAGGGCTCAATGAGCTCACCAAAACTTGACTTGTCTGCCACAGTTTCTTTCAGTAGTTGTCCACAGCAGACTGAGGGAGAGAGGAACAGAAAGATACCTGTTAAATTTTAAATAGAAGGAAGAATGGGTGTGGGGGAAAGCCAGTGCAGTGCTGACTGCTAGGGGAGAAAAAGGTCACTGAAAAAAATATTAAAGGGTTCTTCTGTGTGTGGGATGTGTGTCCAAGTGAAAGTCACTATCAAAAAGGATCTAGGAAGGGGAAGAAGAGCAGGGAGATGTGAATGAAAAGGAATGCATTTGGCAAAGACATTAAAATGGACAGCCCAGGAGACACTAACAAGGATGTCACCAACAGGGAGGCCCCTGCGAGCTGCAGCTACACCTGGAATTCTGAGTAGAACCTGGTGCTCCCTGGGCTGAGGAGGATTAACATTCAGGTGGAGAATAGCTTATCCTGGCCACTGGACCACAAGTGTGTGTTCACATTCAGTCCATTTTCACACAGGGAGGGCAGGCAAGGTGTGCTGATCACTAACTCATAAATAAATGCCCCACGCTGCAGTCACCTGGCCATCGCTGCTGTCACCCTTTGGATGCATGCCACTATAGCAATGGCCCTTTCTATCAGGCCCCACTGTGTCTCCATCCCTGAGCCATGCTGGCACATGGGAGGGGTTGGTCAATGGTGCTGAATGCTCAACACTGGCTCCCATCCCTCTGGCTAGGAAAGCCCCACTAGCCAAAGCCAGAGGCTTCAGTTGTATTTTTCTTCTTCTTCTGTTTTTTTTTTGGCAGTATTGGAGTTTGAACTCAAGGCTTTACGTTTGCTAGGGAGGCGCTCTACCACTTGAGCTAAGTCTCCAGCCCTGAGTTGTATTTTCATGAGTTGTTAATTGTACATTTTTTATTTTCTAACTCTCAGGGCCAAGGAGTTTCCTGCCTCTACTAAAGAAAGAAAAACATAGAAAATTAGCTGTATAACATGAATGTTTAAGATAAGGACCATCATCAAAGATTTAATCCTCAATAATGATATGCTTACTTCACTATGTAAATGACAGCAGTGACTTTATCCTGAGTGGTGGGCAGCTCCACCTGCTAAGAGAAATGTAAGAATAAAGGCCGAGGGAGCTGAGAGTTTCCTGAATCCCAAGCCCTGTGCTGTCTCCTTTGTCTTACTCGGTCCTATCAATAGCCTGGTACTTTTTGATAGGGAAACTGAGAACACAGAATGAAGTAACCTGTAACCTGTTCCAGGTCACAGAGTCAGTGAGTGGCAGAACTGGAGCTTACCCCAGGTCTGTGCAACATGGAGCCCAGGCTCAGCCTCTAGTTCTGGCCATGAAGGGGTGACAGGTGTCATACTTCCCTTTTCTCACAGAAAGCTAGAAAACTGAGTAGAGCACGTGAAGCAATTCCTTTCAAATATTGGATACAGATGGCACAGACTGTAATCCCTTGAGAGAGGGAAGACACACAAAAGGAGTCTAGTCACTCTGGATTTCTGTCTCCCAGTACTTGTCAGACCACAGCACAGAGGTGAGACCCAAACACAGCAGCAGTGTCATTGGGCAGAGGAAACAGAGGTTGGAGCATGGGCTCTAAGACAGCTGGGATGTTTTGGATTGTGGAATGGAGGGAGCGGAGCTGTGCACAGGACTTCCAGAAATCTGCATGGGGCTCACCGAGTCCCACAGAGCTGTGCATGTGAAGGGCAAGACTCCACAAGGCCTGGTAAAGAAAAGCTACCAGGTTGCTGTGAGCCCAAGGAAATTCACATGGTGCTGGGAGAGGCTAGCAGAAGGTGAGAGCCCTGGCTGAACACACCAGCTAAGAGTCCAGAAAGACCACACTTTGGTGGGTAGGAGTGCCCCAGCCCACCTCAACAAAGTCTCAAAACAAGTGTCAGCAGGATTGAGTTGATCCTCCAGTAAATTAGCTGCCTGTTACAACTCAAGTCTTTTAAACTCAAAATTCTTAAAGCAGCCTACACAATCCAGACTCAACAAGAGCTCCAGAGCTCCAAAATACCCAGCATGTTACATGAAAGTTACTTGACGTGTAGAAAAATCTGGAAAGGTGACCCTCTCCAAGGGAAGAAATTGGCTTAGAATCAGACGAAGAGATGCATAGATGTCAGAATTAGTGTGCCAAGACTTTAAATCAGCAGATGTAAATATCTCCTAAACTTTAAAGGAAAACACAGTTCAAATGAGTGAACAGATGGGGGAACCTCAGAGAACAAATGAAACTATAAAAATAGAACCAGATGGAAATGCTGGAACTGGAAAATACAATCTCTTAAATGAAAAAAGTCACTGCATGAGTTGTGACCAGTGAGTATACAGGAAACACGGCAGTGGAAGTATCAAAACCATGTACAGAGCAGGAGGAAGGACTGAAGGAAAGCACGAAACTCAGTGACCCAGAGGCCAATAATGATCAGCCCACTAGACGTGCCATCAGAGCTCCAGAAAACAGAGACAGGAGGGCAGGAGGTGGAAGGGGACAAAAATACCACAGAGAAAATAATGGCGGCAGAATTTCAAATGTCAATGACAGATATCCATACATTCAAGAATCTCTGAGACCAGAGCAGAATAAACGCAAAGTAAGCCATAGCTTTATATACTGTAGCCACAGAGCTAAAAGCTAAAGAGAAAGAGAAAATACTAAAAGCAGCCGGAGGAGGAGGAAAGATGCTTCATATGTATGGTGACAAGAAAGAGAACATAACCTCTGAGTTCTCCGAAGAAACCCAAGTCAGAAGACAACAGTTGGCGTCTTTAAGTGCTGAGAGAAAAAGAAAGCCTGTTAACATAGATTTCTATATGCAGCAAAAAATCCTTCCCAAAATGAAGGCAAAATAATGATACTTTCACACATATGAAAGCCGAGAGGATTTGTCACCAGCAGACTTTGACTAAAAGAGATGTTAAAGGAAGTTCTTTAAGCTGAGAGGGAACGACACCAAATAGGAACTTGGATCTAAACCAAGGAGTGCACAGTGCTGATATGTGGGTACAGAAATCTCCCCATACTTCCTAACTTCTTCAAAGGACCAACAATTTTTTAAAGCAAACATATTTACAAGATACTGTAGGCTTATAACATATATACAAGTAAAATGCAGACCACCACCACCACAAAGAAAAGACACATGTAAGGTTCTTGTGTGTGAAGACATGTAATATTAGTGCAAGGAGGACTGTGGCCAGGAAAGGATGTGTATTTAATCTTCAGAGCAACCACGAACAAAATAAAGCAAAGATAAATACCTAAAATGTCAAGAGAGTAAATGAAAAGGATTGCTGGAACCGATCTGGTTAATCTAAAAGATGGTAGGAAAGGAGAAACAAAGAACAGAAAACAAAACACCAAGACAGTAGACTTGCAACCAAGCATGGAAAAATTGCTTCAAACAGGAATGGATGAAACACTTAACTGAAAGAAAATGTCAGACTAGATTTTTAAAAATGGCAAACCCCAGCTATATGCCATTAGAAGGCATGTATTTGGAAAATAAGTTACAGATAGTTTAAAGAAGACATGCCATGTACAGACTCATCATAAGAGAGTTAGCATGGCCATAGGAATATCAGACAAAATAGACGGAGCAAAGGAGAACTAGGGAGGCAGAGGACCACTTCCTAACAATAAGAGAGCCACTGTGTCAACAAGACAGAGATTCTTGATGTACATGTGCTAGACAGATTACACGAGCAAAAGCTGGCAGAAAGTGGACAAGTGTACAACTGGAGTTGGAGATATTTAGTACATATGTAAGTTTCTGTAATTGAAGTCACGAGCAGATAGATCATAAAGGATGTGACTATTTGAACAACGTTACAGGACATCTTTCCCTCGTTGACATTTGTAGAGCACTGTACTCAGCAGCAGACGCATGCATATATTTTTCCAGTGCACGTGGAATTCACCACCAGGTGTGGGCCATTGAAAAAGTATCAATGGGCACCAGGTATAGGGGTTCACACTTGTAATCCCAGCACTTTATTGGTGGAGGAGAATCATGAGTTCGAGGCCAGCTTGGGCTACATAGTGAGACCCTGCCTGAAAAAGCGAAGGGTTGGGGATGTAGCTCAGTGGTAGAGCACTGAGGCAAGGCCCTGGGTTTGATTCCAGCACTGCAAAAGGAGAAAACAGTTTCAGTAATTTTCAAAGGATCAAATCAAATAGGGTATATTCTGTGACCACAACAGAACCAAATTGAAAAATGGTAACAAAACACAATCTGGAAAAATCTCCAAGTGTTGGAAATAAGCAATATGCTTCTAAAAACACATGGGTCCAAAACCAAAGAAACCACAGGGAAAATAGGAAATGCTCTGAACTGAAGGGTAACAGAACTACGCCTGTCAAAAGGGGATGCAGATGAAGCAGCGTTTGCAGGACAATGGATAGCTTTCCTTGCTTGTCTAAGGAATGAATGGTTCAAAACCCTGGCCCATACCACCTCACCCAACAATGCCTGTGAAGGAAACACAAAAGTACCCTCTCCTAAACACTCAAGCCTGGCAGGCTGCATTTGTGGTGAAGATGTTCAAAGAAGGCAACCTGCTGTCAGGGGGCTGGTGAGGGAGCCAGGCTTTGGGTGCTGTTAGGCCTGGGGCTGTGCTGGCGTCAGCCTGGCCTCACCTTGCTCATCTGCTGCTGAGCCCACACGTCTTAGCTGCATGTCTAAGTTCCTCTCTTACTCTTCTACCTTTGGCCCTATCTGTGTGTCCTGTAGAGTGTATTGTATACAGCAGGTGCTCAGTAAGTAACAATAGTGTTCTAACAAAATCCTTCATGGTTATGTCTGACTAGAAAATTTGTGCTCATTATAAAAACCAAACTAATCAGGACACACCACTCTACAGAAATGACCTGTTTAGTGTATGCTTGTTTCCTCAGACTTTTTTCTTTTCTTTTGGTGGGATCAGGGTTTGAACTCAGGTTTTGTACTTGCAAAGCAGGCACTCTACCATTTGTACCACACCTCCAGTCCCTTTTGCTCTGGTTATTTTGGAAATGGGGTCTCACAAATTATCTGTCTGGGCTGGCCTCAAACCATGATCCTCCCAGTCTCAGCTTCCCAAGTAGCTACGATTACGGGCATGAGCCTCTGGCACTGGCCACCTCAGATTTTTTTTTTTTTTTTTATGAACCTAGATCAGTGTACTTCCTCCTCCTCCTCCTACTGCTCCTCCTCCCCCTCCCCCTCCCCCTCCTCCTCCTTCTTTTGTTGGTACTGGAGTTTGGAACTCAGGGCTTCTTGCTTGCTAGGTAGGCACTCTACCACTTGAGCCACATCTCCAATCCTTTTTGCTTTTTTTTTTTTTTTTTCAGCTAGAGTTTTGAGTTTATGCCAGAATCAGCCTGGACTGCCATTCTCCTATTTATGCCTCTGGCATAGGTGGAATGACATGCATGTACAACCATGCCCAGCTATTGGGTTGAGGTGGGGTCTTAACAACTTTTTGCCCTGGCTGGCCTTGAAAACTGTACCCTCCCCCCCCAAGTCTTCAACTCCTGAGTAGCTGGGAGCCACTGGGCTGGGCCTGACCAACATTCTATTTCAAGCAAAAACAAGATCCAGCTGAGTGCCCTGCTTTCTGTGCATTTAGCAGTATATCACAGACGTCAAATCACTTCACAGGTTTCTTTTTGATAGAGTTTAAGGCTGCCTCTAGTTTTCCTTATGATTCTTCTCATCTCTCATTGCACAAATCCCAGGAGTGAAATCACTGACTTGCACAGTTAGCATCTTAATCAACAGAGGCTTTTTCTTTTCAAAAGGTTGTGCCTGTCTGTGTGCCCACCTGTTAGAGGAGGGAGGGTGCAGATGAACTTTGTGCATTTGGAGATGTGCTCCCTGACTTAGACTTCATAAACAGGGGATCAGGCCTAAGCCAGGGGAGCAGCCAGGGGAGCTCTGGGTTCCAATAGGCACAGCCTCCCCATGCTCCCCTGCCTCTTCCTGCCCCAGGTCCTTTCAGTTGTTTAATTTAAACCTTCTGATGTATTTATCAAAAGCCCCTTCAAGAAAAGTAAACTTTCTGAATTAGTCTCCAAATGCTCAATTATCACTACAAAGCAAACACCAAGATGAGCCTTTCAATTTTTGGAAAAACCAGGGTAGATAATATTATTATGTCTTCATGACTGATGTGCTGAAAGCAATTTTTTTTTTGGAGACAAGGTCTCATTACATGGTCCAGGTTGCCCTGGAACTCGAAATCTTCCTGCCTCAGCCTCCTGAGTGCTGGGATTACAGATGTGCACCACCACACACAGCTGAAAACAATTTTCCTGAATGAGCGTGTCTGCATAAACAAAATGAGGCCCAGAGACGATTATTCATAAAGCTGTGTGCTGGGTGAAGGTGTGGCGGCTGTGTTCTCAGGTCCTCCCTCACGCAGAACACTCTTGCCTCGTACATCCTCATGTGCCCCATGTGACAAGCAGCGTAGACCCTTACGTGAACGTGTGGGTGCAGCTATAGGTATAGACTGGTGTATTCTCCACCACAAGGCCATCCCTGCATTGCTGCAAGTTTCATTCAGAATGCTTTTAAGATGTGAAATCAAAAAAAGGAACGAATTATTTGAATAATTCAGTTTTTCAAAAAAAAAAAAAAAACCTGATGCAAGCAGATACATTTTCATCCTAAAGTGCACAGACGTTTCCAGGTTGGTCATATTTGTGGGGTACTTGTTCAGTTCTCTATCTTCATTTTATGGGTGTGCCTTTTGTCACTGATTCCTGGCTGGTCCCTGAGACTTTGAGATTTTAAGTTAGGGAGACCTAATTGAAAAGCATTCTTATCAAAACTTGATCCTTCTGGATGGACATACATGAACACCTCTGCGTGTATTCTCTGTACGTTTGTGTATGGGGTGTGTGTGGCTATGCATAGTTGCATATCTGGGGTGCAGGTCTCAAGTTTCCTTAGTAAGCAGAGGTCACGTGGACTGTGGAGCAGGGGGGTCGTGCTGTCAACTCCCCCAGCCCCGCTCTGTGGACCTGCTGTGGCTTCTCCTTCCTAGCCCTTGATCCTCCTGACGCAGGCCGGCATCAATGCCCGCCTGGGACCACCCGGCAAAGACCTGGAGAGCTCATTTCAATACCTTCTCTCCTCCTGGTAAAATATTCATTGAAACTGTGCTGAGTGAGAAGTCTTCCTCTGGTTCAGAAATTGTTTGCCTGTAAACACGCTGACCTGGGTTGGAGGAGCTGAGTGAGCTGGGAGTAAATGAGGCCGCAGCAGATCCCATTACGTAAAGCTGCAGCTAGCTGGCTCTGGGGCGCCAACCCACAGGGGCCAGACAGAGGCACCCCGGGAGGACAGTAGAGAAAGCAGCTCTCCAAGGGACATCAGAAGTGAGTTGAAAACCTCCTGGTTCTTTGGGCTATGGACATGTTGTTATTGGCTAACGTCTTTATGGCAATATTCTTCAGGAGGACAAAAATTGTAACTCTACAAAGATGGACTAAGGAAATGGTAATTGCAGAGAGCAAGAAAGAGAATTGATACTGAGCCTTCCAACCCTCCCACAGGCTGCTCAAAGGCTTGGGAGGGCAGAAGACAGGGAAGGCTCTGGAAGCAGTGCTGCTTCCGTGCACTCACCATTGACAAGGCCATACTTCTGGGCCAGGAGGGCGGCCTGCAGGCTCTTCCCGCTGCCCTGGGGCCCACACAGCAGCACCCTGGGGGTGAATGGGGCATTGGTTCTGTGGTTACTTTGGACGTAGGTCAGAGCTGGAAAGAGAGGATATGAAAATAATGAATCCAGGAGCTAAAGCAAGGAAACAGCTCACAGCACCTCTGCTTTCACTCTGCACAGCCATAATTAGCTCTGTCTTTTACAGCATAGACACCCTCTAGCCAGCTGACCCGCGGCCCAGGACCAAGCAGCAGGGAAGGAGTGACACATCAGGCCTGGGCACTAAGGTAGGGAGGCTGTGAAAGCTACACAATTTCCCTGTCAGTGCTACCCTGGGATCCCTCTTCAGCACTGTGCACTTGCCTCCAGGTCGAACTGGGGCTGGCGCAATGGGTGTGGGAGGGCGGGCAGGACATAAAAGCATTCAGGGCTGGGTTGGGGGCTTCCAAACTGTATCTGGGCTGAGTGTCTAACCAGGCTGGTCTCCAAGGGCAGGTGCGTGTGGCTTTCTGCTGGCTGCACACAGTGTCAGATGTAGGCTTTGATGAAGTGCACCAGGCCACCTGGGGGCCTAGCATGCAGGGACTTCTGAAGGACTTGGGAATTGGTGGAGGAGAATCTGAGCAACTGTACCACAGTGACATGACTTTGTTGTGAGTCTCCAAAGAGCCACTGGTGCAACAGGTCATAGTTGTGGGCAGATGTAGCTGCGTGCCCTGGCCTGTGGAGTGCCCCTGGCATTTGATGAACAGAAAAGTGGAGAAACAAGGCCCGGCATCTCCAACAATGAGGAGACCCATGCTGTGTGGGCACTGGATGCCCACAAGTCCCAGGAAAAGCTAGTGCACATCAAACAGGCCACCTCCCATGGAACCAGCACAGAGGAGGGAGGTGGGAGAACAGGTGAATCGGACAGGCTTTTGGCACCTGCATGGGAGAGCTGCCCATTGAACAGGCCACAGATAAGTGCTGGCCCCTAAGTCAGCCTCCAAGATGGGCTCTCCTTCCCAGGCCTCACCTCCTCCCCAGGCCTCACCTCCTGCCCAGGCCTCAGGCCATCTTGTCTACTGCCAATCATGGGAGGAGGCTCCAGTCAGCCTTTGCCAACCTCCTGGACAAAGGGTAGAGCCAAAAGCCTCTCAGGTTCATGGCCCCCAGGAGCCATTTACAGGTGTCTGTGTACAGGGCTTCTCGACTTCAGCACTATGGGCATTTGGAGCCAGGTGGTCTTTTTGTATGAGGTGTCCTGTAGGATGTTAAGAAGCACCCTTGGCCTGCCTCACTAGGTGTCAGAAGCACCACCAAAAAATGTTTTCAGACATTGTCAAGTGTCCTGAGCTGGGGGGGACGGGAGGGGGGTGCGGATAGGTCATTGTGCACATTTTGAACTCAGTAATCTTTGCAGGACTGTTTCATTGGATGAATCATTAGCGATATTACAATCCCCTCTTTTGGGAACAGGTAAGTTGAGTGTCTTCATGTGGCTACCATTATCACCACCGTGGCTAGCATGTATTAACTGCTAAGCTAAACGCTCTGTGGGCATCTCATTTGAAAGACCACAGCACTGTGAGGGAGATAAAATTTTCATCCCATTTTACCGATGAGTCATTTCAGCCCAGAGACTTGGTGGAGCTGGGCACTTTCCCAACGCCACTGCCATAAGCACACACAATCCCCCTCACCCCCTGCCCCGGGGAGCCTGGAGCCAGGCAAGGGTCTCTCACAGGCTCTCCATCCTCAGGCCTTCTGTAATCCAGTGTCTCTGACAAGTGCATACACTACAGGCAAGGCAGCCTGCTTACAAATGATTCTTAATTTACAGTAAATAACCAAGTTAATTAGAAGTAATGATCCCCCAGACAGTCTCAACATCTAATTATTATTTTTAGAACTATGCAGTTGCTGAATGCACTGCAGAGAGATTAAACAACAAAAAAAAAACACACAGAGAGAATCTACCATTCCAACTCTTAATTTATCTCTCTACATTATTAATTAATAATAATTAATATTCAGACACTCACATTTTTATTTACAATTCCAGGCATGAATTCTTTATGAACGATCATATGAACTTTTAGATTTAATTAAGTAATTTGGAAGTAATTAATGTGTAAATTCAGAATCATGGCATAAGATAAACATGTGGATGTTTATCCTAAGAGCATAGTGTTTGCCACTAAAGACCCTTCTGAGATGCAAAAGCTCTGGAAAATTATAAGGCAGCCGAGGCCTGGCATTTTTAAAGCCATGTCATTTTCTAGACGCCACCTCTTAGTGTTTGGTGGCTTTTAAGAACAATGCTCTCCTCAGAGCAACAGCCAGTCTACAGCAGGAGGGGAGACGAGGTGGTAGACAGACTGGCAGGGAGACTGTGGGGAGCTAAACCACCCCCACTCAAAACAAAACCTTTCTTTTTTGAGTCAGGGTCTCCCTGTGTAGCTCAAGCAGCCTCAAACTCTCCATCGTCCTGCTCCACCTTCTAAGTGGTGGGATTACAGGCATGTACCACTGCACTCTGCTTAAAATAGCTTTACTTGAAGAGATTTGAAAGAGTTATGAAAAAATACTGTAACACATCAGGTGTCTTAGATGTCTGTAGCATCATTTTATTTGTCAAAATGACTAAATGTTTTGTTTACCTGGCAATGTATGGGAGAGATAACTGGATTTTGAGAGAGCAAGACTTTTAAAATTAGAATTCAGCTACATGGGACGGAGTTATTCTAGCTTCCCCTGGCCTCTTTTAGACAGGATGTTGAATAATTATCATTATGAAGTCGGGTGTGTTAAGCCCTTTCCCTACGCCAGCTGCTAGGCTCCTGGCAGTGAATACTCGTAGTTTGGAGATTCTCGCTTCATCTTCACCTGCACCTGGGAGGAAGGCACAAGTGTCGTTCCAGTTTTAGGCCCCATCTATGACTTGACTCCTGGGGTCCCAGGCATGTCCTGGCCACCAGCCACTGCCAGACTGAGGGCTGCTGACAGGAGGAGGGAGATGTGTTTGGCGAACCTGGTCTTAGATGGTGGGGATGAGGCAACCTGTGTGTTTACCCTGGTAGAAGACGTCCACGCATGGCTGGTCAGCACTGATGGTCTTCAGGATTTTTGGGTAAGAAGGAAGGATCCTGATGATGTTCCTGTGATAGTCCAGCAGCTTCTGAGCTGTCTCCAGCTCCGAGATGCCTGCCGGCTCCACTAGTCGGTTCTGGACATCAGGGTCAGAGGGCCAGTCGAAGGTGGTGTGATAGATCTCTGCACAGAGGGGGCAGAGTTAGAGTCCCCTCACTTCCCCTCCTCTCCTCACCGCCTGGAGGCTGCTGTGGGAGCTGCCATCTGGTGGGACTCCAAGGGCATGGCTGACTTCAACAGGTAAGCAGGGCTAAGGGTGGCTTCAGGACCAGCTCTTCCTAATGTCATTGTTACTACATGTAACAATAGCAAAATATTGCCATTAGTAACAAACAGTTCAGGGCTAAGAGCAGCCACTGGACCCCGGGCCAGGAACTCTGACAGACCTGCAGGCTCAGTTCACCCTCATGGCCATCTGAGCATTCAGTAGGCTTGGTGTTTTCACCGCCAAGTCAAATGAGGAACCCAAACCTCACAGAAGAATCCAAGGTTCTACTGCTAGGAAGGGTCAGAGCCAGAAACACACAAGCCCAAGTGGATCAAGGGCACTCCCCACCTTCCCCTCGCCCTAGGGCCCTGCTGAACTGTCTGGTCTTCCACATCAGCTGAAGGGTCCCATCCCAGGGCACCTGCCAAGTCCCCAGATAATGCACATGCCTCACTCTGTGCACTCAGCAAAGACCACAGCTGCAGTCTCCCAGAGAGATGGGGACACACCCCCGAGGCTCTGTGTCAGGAGGCAAGCTCAGCAGAGGGAGACTGGCAGCCCAGATGCCCTGTAACACAATCCACACTGGAGTCTGGTGCTGCCTGAACGAAGCTCCTCCCTTCACCTAAGGGGCCTCTGTTTTATCATCTGCTGGAAGTCCGGTTTCCCAGCATTTTCCAGCTCAGAGCCAGACTCTGGAATTTGAGCCTCCACTACTCTGCGGCCTCCTTTGTACCCTCTGTGGGTACCCAAAGAGCAGACCAAGTGCTCAGTGAACTGTGGGGTAGGGGGCGCACAGACAGTCATACCTCCTGTTTGAGGGTCGATCCTCTTCCCCAAGTTTCTCTCAATCAGGACCGTGTCTGGGGCCTTCAGCATGACTGGGCAGAGACAAAAGGAGCAAAATCAGGTATGCTGGACAGCAATGCCACACATTTGAACCTCATGGACTTTTGCTGTATAATGTTAAAACAACCACCATTATCCATCCCTGGGAGCCCTTAAAAGAAATGCCTGCTCAGTGCCAAAACACAAAGAACATTCTCTCAGAAGCGAGAACAGGCCCTGATGGGACATCTCCCCCTCCAACAATTTTCTCCATCATAAATCTCCGTAATGAACATCCTTGTGCATTCCCTTTGGCCACATTTCCAATCATTTCCTAAACACAACTTCTCCGACTTGAGATTCCCAGGACGAGGAATCGCCAGGGTAAAAATAAAACCCTACTTTTCTTAACAACATGCCCATCTTTTTCTTGTGGGTCACAGGCTGTTCAAACCTTCCTTTGGGTGGTAGCTGGTCCCAGGGGAGGATCTGGGGGGCGGGGGGGCAGCAACAAAGTGCAGGGTACACACCTGTCTGTCTGCCTGTGCACACACAACAGTGCCCACCCCACCAACTCAGCCCCGGGGACCCTTGGGCTACTCACTGATGTGCTTGGGGATGAGCCCCAGGGACTGGATCATGAGTGCCTGCTCCCGAGTCTCAGGGATGCCATCCAGGATCCAGCCCTAGAGAAGGTTTGGAGAGGGGCTTGTGACCTTTTGAGACTCTGTGAATTATTTAAAAAGGAATATACCAGGTTTAAAGAAGGACTGAAAAGTGTTTCTGAGAACCTCCATGCCATTCTTTAACCACTTTCAGATAGTTTTCCCTTTCAAATCTATGTTTTGATTGTAATGATGGCATACACACTTCATGTCCTGGTTTCTCCACCACCTATCAGAGCTAGCACAAGCATTTTTCACGTTGTCATGGATTTCCGGTGGTGACAGAATACCCGCCGGGAAGCATGCCATGGGCACTTAGCCCCGCCCACAGCTGAAAGTCTGGCTGTGTTCACAGACTTTTTTCTGTTTGCTTGTTTGGTGGCACTGGGGTTTGAACTCAGGGCCTTGATCATGCTAGGCAGGCGCTCTACCGCATGAGCCACACCTCCAGGCCAGTTGTGAACAATTTGGACTGTCCTAAATAACATCATGATGAACACCTCTGTGCAAACGGCTCTTTTCACATTCCCAATTCCTTCCTAAAGAGCAATGCTGAGATAGGGGATTCTTGAGGCAAGAAATCTCTGGATCAAAACAAACTCCATTTTCCCATAAGAACAAACCCTGAATGATGCCTTGGGAGACCTGGGTTCGGGTTTCCGCTCTATAGCTAATTTGCTACAAAGCTGAGACCCCCCAGACATGAGGCCCCTTCTTGGTAGAGCCTGGGCATTGGATTAGAAGGTGTCTGTACTGACTCTTCAAATCCGACTGTGAAAGTAATACACAACCACTGGGTACTATGTAGAAGACAGAGAAGCTGAAATTCTTATGCCAGTCCCTGAGAACACCACAGGATCCTAAGAAGTCACTGCTAAAGTTTTTTGATATATCCCCTCCCCTGCATCACAAACAGATATCTTCCCCCACTGGAGGCAAGGGTGGAAAGAATTACACAGTCACTCTAATATTATTTTGTAGTCGGTTCTCATGCAGCAAAGGTTATTTCCTGACCATTTCCCCATGCCATAAAACACTCTTCCTAGGAAGCTTTCACAGTTGCCTGGCATGGCATGAACTGACCTGCCAGTGTTCACTGGTCCAATACTGTTGCCCATTGCTTTCATTCTAGGTTTTCACCACTATTTTTTTTTCAATACTGGGGTTTGAACTCAGGACCTATACCTTGAGCCCCTCCACCAGCCCATTTTTGTGATTTTTTTTTCTTTTCAAGAGAGGGTCTTAAAAACTATTTGCTCAGGCTGGATTCAAATGGGGATCCTCCTGATCTCTGTCTCCTGAGTAGCTGGGATTACAAGCGTGAGCCACTGGTGCCAGGTTCGCCACTATTTTTAAATGGTGTACACATACCTTGGTGTGTATCTAATATCCTCAAGGTAAAGTTCTAGAATTTGTACCTTCTGCTGTGGCTTTGGTGTACTTTGTCCTGTCATCTGCAGACTCATCTGGCTACTTTACACAACCAGTGACAGAGCCTCTGTTGCCTGCATCTCTGCTCATGTGGACATTGTCCTGGGGGAATCTGTCCAGCAAGAGAGACCATTGCTGCTTTAATTTACACTTATTTAATCATTAGTACAGCTTAATATGTTTCCAGATGTTTATTGACTATTTCAATCTTTTCCTTTACCAAAATGTCTACCCATGACATCTAGTCACTTTCCCCTTGGGGTTAATCCTCTGATTTATTTACAAGAGCTCTTTATATATTAAAAATACTCACCCATTTTGGCAAACACCACCACAAACCATTTGAGGCAAACAATGCTTCTGACATTTTCCAACATTTGTCTTTGACCTTTTAATTTTGTGCACAGTATTCTTTTTAATACACTGACTTTCAGCTCAGCAAATCACTGCTTTCCCTCTTTGGATTCTGGTATTTGTGGATGTATAAGAGGTCTTTCCCACTGCATAAGCTAATAAATATTCACTTAAATTTAAACCACGTTCTCTTATGTCATTACTGTTTACACTTAAATATTTAATAGACCACATTTTTCTTTTGTGAATGACATGAAGTTAGGATCTAATTTGTTTCCTTGTGGCTTGCCAGCTCCCCAACTTCATCTATGAAAAAGCCTCTCCTTCCCCTCTCATGTCTCTTTTTTTGTAGTCTAAATGCTGCTACGACCTTGACTCTGGCCTCTTTCTGCCTGTAGATTATTAAACTATTTTAAAAACTTTTCAATTTCTGTTGTTTTATTACTTATTGTTATACATAATAGAATATGCTCCCATTTCTCTTTTTTTTTTTACAAAAATGTATTATTCCAAGTAAGAATCAAAAAGTATTTCATCAAGTTCCAAAATGGAAATTACACGAGGATTTTGGAATGACATAAATGCATAGATTATTCATGAGGTGACACTGTTATAGTATCAAGTTGACACACATTATCCTCCCATTTGCTTGCATTTGTTTTCTTATGTCCCTTGGCCATGTTCACATTAAACAAAGTCCTTTCGAGTCCCATGAGTCTAGAGTTAAACACACACACACACACTCACAAACTCTCACACATATACTCACTCTCTCTCACATACACTCACACACACTCACACTGTAATGCTGTAGACTTGACATCCAAGTAAATCACTAAGGTGACCTTTGCAACAGTGGAATAAGGGAACAAATTCCTTCAAGTGTCCACTTTGCAGTGAAGGGGGACAGGCAACGTCAGGATGAAGGTAAGATTGCTGATGCTCGCTCCCCAAAAGAAGCCCCCTTGTCAGAGACTCCTCTCACTCAGTCATTACAAGAACTCGGTTGCTGAGGTTGAAGGATGGACTAATGTGGGTGAACTCAGGCTCCAAGGCCCTCACAACCCACACCTCCTGATTTCCAGGACACAGGGATAGGTACTGGCAAGAGATGTCTTTCGTTAAAAACAAAAAAAGTGCCCGCATTTCTTCAACATTAAAATATTTAGGTTGCAACAGCCTCTAATGACAGTTAAAAAAAAAAAAAAGCTAAACAAATTTACAGCCTGAAGAGTGTGGGAAAAACCAGGCAAGCTTTCATTAATTTCTTAAATTATCCAGGAAAGCACAGCCTCAGAACCCTAGTTTCTGGAACTAATGAAGCAAAAGTACAAAAAAATTTTTTACCAGCCTTTTGCTCCCTTAAGTCCTTGTTACAGCCAGCCAAGTGCTGGGCTGATGCTCTCAGCAAAAGCAGATGCCTGCAGATGTGTACGGCTCCACAGCAAGTGGGCCTAGCATCCAGTTGTGGGCCTCACTCACAGGCCCAGAAGCTGAGTCTGTTCATTTTCTGAACTTTAGCTAAATTCCTACCCCCAGAAAATCTGGGTCCCCATTTGGAGCAGGGAGGAATCATAAGCCCATTGACTGTTCTGCTACAAGGGATGGTAATTCTGCTGCGAGTCACTTTTTGAAGCTGGAAGAAGGCTGGAACTTATCTTCACCCAGCACTGACAAAGACCTCTGCTTTTAATATTGCATCATGGAGCAATCATTATAATCTTACCCAGAAATTTGCCGTGGATATCCACGTGGATATCAGTATGTGATCCAAAGCTTTTAGAACTGTTCAGGGGAACAGCTCTCACCAATTACCAGGAAATGATTAGCCTGGCCTTGCTGGTGCCATTCTATAGGGATGTGAGGTTTTAGGAGGAGGATGGTAGGGACGCTGAAGTGAGTCCCAGGCCACCAGATCTCTAGGTCTGCTTTTTCTGACTTGGAGGTGGCACAGTCACCCAAGTGCTGAGCAATGAGGCCCCCAAGGAACCCCTGGAGCAGCCCCCTATCCTACAGGGAAGGCAGCCATGGAGACTCTCATCCCTGTGAGGATCCATGTGGGTCTACATCACTCCCCCTAGTTGGGACAGTGCCTTGACTGAGGCCTCCGTGTGAGGACAATTGTTCTTGACACACCCTCAAAAAGGAAGCCACAGGCTTAGTGCTCAGAAGGGAGCTTCTTTTGCATTTAGAGAGGTGACTTGCCCAGTTGCAAAATGCACTGTACTTTTGGGGGAAATGGTAATTGTGGTTGAGAACACTTCAATGGCAGCAGATTTTGGCAAAGCAAAAAGCCATCAACCAGGAAAGAGCATCTAACAAGTGCTGTGACCCGACCCTAAGATGTTGACAACCTGGCCTCACTAGGTCCTGGGTCCGACATCCAGGAGTGGCTCGATGCAGAGGCATCAGTCAATTCCTAATTAGAATACATTATCCATCTTCCTGACACTTCAGTGAAATGTCTATCCCACTCTGGAGCCGCAGCTTTGTTCAGAGCAGGCTAATTGATATTCTGATGCCTGCGCTCGCCATACCCCCATGGCTCGGTTCTGTTTTATCACACATCAAAAAGGCCGTATGCTCAGGGCACTCCGTGCGCCAGCGCAGAGCTGGAGGTCTGCACAGATGCAGGGGCATGGTATCACAGGAGGGACAAGCACCGAGCAGATGTCACGGATGAAAAAAAGGGAAGCAAAGGAGCCATGTAGTCTAGGGAACGTGGAGAGGTGCTATAGAGCGCGGCCTGATGAGGCTTGGACTGTCCTGCTTTGTGCAAACACTGGCCCTTTTGGCCTCCTGACTATTAAGCAAGCACAATCAGCCACCACGTGTGGGAAGCCTCTGCTGCCCTCTGGGCTGCTGCCTTTTGATGCATTGCCCTTCCTCACCTCCCCATTCCTCCCAATGCTACAGCCAGAGTGTGGGCGCTCCCCTGGGTCCTCCCCAGCACCGCCAGTGATCCGGCCTCCAGGCACAGCTGCAGACTCTAGCAGGCTCCATGGGAGGCACCACCCCCACCCCCAGAACTGCATGCTGATTTTGCAGAGCCCCACGGAGGTCATCTGAGACTGGAGATTTGGAGATGGTTCCATCAATCAGATCTACTTGGCTCAAAGCAGAACCAAGGCAAATGCCACAAAAGCATCACTCCCCCACCTCTTTTCCTAATGAAATATTATGTGGTTCCTGACATGCAAAAAGAGATATTTTATCAGCCAGGAAAGAATTGCATC